ACTAAATTCTAATAGGCCGATCTCACTTAAAATTGGTCTAGGAATGATCAGCTCATGGTCCTGACAAAGTTAAGTTAACATTATACTATTTTTTACTCAAATTGGTACATATTTCAACAACAACAAAAAATACTGTAGACTCAGGTGACCGTTAAGGCCCATGGGCCTCTTGTTATAGAATATATTCATAATCGGGATATGAGGAGATTTAGCGGAGACACATGGAATCTTTGTGTGGGGTATTCACGGTCATTTGAGCGATTGATTTTTTTTCCCTTCTGGTCCATTATCAAGTTGAGAGCGAGTGCCACCCTGAGTGATGTGGGTCAGAAATGCATTGTCGATGTGCACTCTATTGTACAAGATTGCAAAATGCACAGGATATTTGGTTATGGTCTTTCAGTTATCCGATACTCCGCTACAATTATACTGTTTCTAACATCTCATTATAATCGATCCTTTTGCATTATCGAGATTAGAAAATATTTGGTAGATGAGGCATACCGGTTTGACAGTATATATGTGTTACATCTGGATTTGTAAAAAAAAAACAATTGTCCGTTTAAATTAAAGCAAAACTACTACCCCCAGCCTGACATCAATCCAAATAAAAGTTTTCGTGAAATTAAGACTGCGAAGTTCCATGGCGTACCTGTAGGGAATCTATCACGGGAAATCTCAGTTTCAATTTAAAAGTAATTTAATGAAGATTAAAAACACTGATAGAGTTTACAAGCTGCAGTCCTTGAAATAAATTAGCCGTATAAACTGTTAGGACCTGTTGTATCTTCATCAATGATGATGGCCTAGAAATGCCTGCTTGGTCTTCTGCAATTTCACAGTATATAATAACATTACAAAGATTTCTGAAATATTTGTGTTGGATGGAAATTTTCACCAAATACTTTATAATGGAAGTACACTTTTCCATTTGGTTTTGAGACATGCTGACTCCAGCACATACATAAAGTAGTGTCAGGGACTGAGTCTGTATAAATCGGTTTACTAGACACTACAGCAAACCATCAGTAGGTGGTAGGTAGGACTACCTATATATATAAGTAACAGTAATTGTATAGTAATAAAAGGGTCACTAATAAGATCACATTTTAATGAATCATAGCACAGGTAAATCTGATAGGTACATCATACCACAGGTAAATCTGATAGGTACATCATACCACAGGTAAATCTGATAGGTACATCATACCACAGGTAATCCGATAGGTACATCATACCACAGGTCAGGTAAATCTGATAGGTACATCATACCACAGATAAAACCTGATAGAACTACATCCTACCACAGGTAAATCTGATAGGTAAATCATACCACAGGTCAGGTAAATCTGATAGGTACATCATACCATAGGTAAATCATACCATAGGTAAATCTGATAGGTACATCATACCACAGGACAGGTAAATCTGATAGGTACATCATACCATAGGTAAATCTGATAGGTAAATCATACCACAGTTACATCATACCACAGGTAAACCTGATAGGTACATCAAACCACAGATAAAACCTGATAGAACTACATCATACCACAGGTACATCATACCACAGGTAAACCTGATAGGTACATCAAACCACAGATAAAACCTGATAGAACTACATCATACCACAGTTACATCATACCACAGGTAAACCTGATAGGCACATCATACCACAGATAAAACCTGATAGAACTACATCATACCACAGGTACATCATACCACAGGTAAACCTGATAGGTACATCAAACCACAGATAAAACCTGATAGAACTACATCATACCACAGTTACATCATACCACAGGTAAATCATACCACAGTTACATCATACCACAGGTAAATCATACCACAGTTACATCATACCACAGGTAAACCTGATAGGTACATCAAACCACAGATAAAACCTGATAGAACTACATCATACCACAGGTACATCATACCACAGGTAAACCTGATAGGCACATCATACCACAGATAAAACCTGATAGAAGTACATCATACCACAGTTACATCATACCACAGGTAAATCATACCACAGTTACATCATACCACAGGTAAACCTGATAGGTACATCAAACCACAGATAAAACCTGATAGAACTACATCATACCACAGTTACATCATACCACAGGTAAACCTGATAGGTACATCAAACCACAGATAAAACCTGATAGAACTACATCATACCACAGGTACATCATACCACAGGTAAACCTGATAGGCACATCATACCACAGATAAAACCTGATAGAACTACATCATACCACAGGTACATCATACCACAGGTAAACCTGATAGGCACATCATACCACAGATAAAACCTGATAGAACTACATCATACCACAGGTACATCATACCACAGGTAAACCTGATAGGCACATCATACCACAGATAAAACCTGATAGAACTACATCATACCACAGTTACATCATACACAGGTAAACCTGATAGGTACATCATACCACAGATAAAACCTGATAGGACTACATCATACCACAGTTACATCATATACCACAGATAAATCTAATAGGTACATCATACCACAGATAAAACCTGATAGAACTACATCATACCACAGGTAAATCTGATAGGTAAATCATACCACAGTTACATCATACCACAGGTAAACCTGATAGGTACATCATACCACAGATAAAACCTGATAGAACTACATCATACAACAGGTAAAACCTGATAGGACTACATCATACCACAGTTACATCATACCACAGGTAAATCATACCACAGTTACATCATACCACAGGTAAACCTGATAGGTACATCATACCACAGATAAAAACTGATAGGACTACATCATACCACAGTTACATCATACCACAGGTAAATCTGATAGGTACATCATACCACAGTTACATCATACCACAGGTAAATCTGATAGGTACATCATACCACAGGTAAATCATACCACATGTAGATCTGATTGGTACATCATACCATAGGTAAATCTGATAGGTACATCATACCACAGGTAAATCTGTAGGTACATCATACCACAGGTAACTCATACTGCAGGTAAATCTGATAGGTACATCATACCACAGGTAACTCATATTGCAGGTAAATCTGATAGATACATCATACCACAGGTAAACCTGATAGGTACATCATACCAAAGTTAAATAATACCACAGGTATATCTTATTGGTACATCACACCACAGGTAGATCTGATAGGTACATCATACCACAGGTAAATCTGGTAGGTACATCATACCACAGATATATCATAACACAGGTAAATCATACTGCAGGTAAATCATAACACAGGTAAATCTGACAGGTAAATCATAACACAGGTAAATCTGACAGGTAAATCATGCTGCAGGAAAATCTACTACAAAACAAAGCTGGTCCTAAGAGGAAGGAAAGTATACAAAGTTAGGAATGAAATTTGTAAATTATTTTAAAATTCGAGGTTAGTTTTGTAATTTGTTGTATGTGACGTGAATGTTTTGTGAATTGTTGCGACGTGACAGGTATGTTTAGTAACTTATTACTATTAGACATGTGAGGAAGATTTTGTGATTTATTTTGATATGACAAGAGTGTTTAGTAAATAATCGTAATAGGAGAAGATGTTGTTGTGTTTTACCTGACAGGAAGTTTTTGTTTATCATTGTGGCATGAAGTTTTGTTATTTGTGGCTCTGTGACAAATAATTTTGATATTTTTTTTCTCTTTATTTCTTTTGTTACTTTTGAGGTGGCCAAAAGATCTTGGTTTCAATTGGTCTGTGACAGAAATATTTCTTTATATTTGTTGTAATGTGACAAGAGGATATTTTGATTTCTGATGTGACACAATTTTTTTTTAATCTATTGGGATGTGACAGGAGGAAATTTTCCTGATGCATTTTGACTTAACAGGAAAGTTCGGTAATTTGAACTACGATATATATGTAAATGGCAGCTATTTATAGCGATGTACAGTAAAACGAAGTCAATGATTAATTGTTTCACAAGTTAGGAACGAAGTTTCCAACTCGTGGCACATCAAGATTATTAGTTGGTTCTATAATGGGATTTCACGACAATCGCAGTGAAACAAATAGCACCATAGACTGTACGTACACGCCACAGATCTTTCCCAAATGAGTTTCCATCATCCAACATATTCTACTTGGTTTTTTTTCTGCCTGATCCATCAATTTGGTAGTTAACTAGTGTTTACGAAAAATGCTTGTTGATGTTAATAATTTGTCAGTTTTAAAAGTGGCACATTATTGGTTTCATAGGACATTAAGTGTGAATCATTTTGATAGATATATTTGGCCTTCAGCTATTTACTTTATGCATTCCTTCATATGATCAATGTACAATAAATCGGTTGTAATATCGTGTTGTTTTATCTGTGTCGGAGTCGTCCCGTTTCCCATCATATAATTATACGGAAAATTGTTTGTGTCGTATAAGGGCTTATTTAAAAATATCTGCTCGAAATACAAATAAGAATTTATGGCACATTAATATTAGGGGAAAACAGATAAAATGTTTCTTATTTTGAACGTTTGCTCCTGTGATATATAATCAGTACTGCGTGATTAATTCTACGACAGAAACGAAATGTCTTCCTCGTTTTCGACAGCTTTGTACAGAACTGATTGTTAATGGCAAATTCACATCAATAAAACACAAATTTTTATCCGTCAAAATGTTATTATGTAGTAGAATTATTATATTGCTGGCACGTTTTTTTCAAACATTAATGATAAATAAATCCTAGCTGGTTTTACACGGTAGCCATAAGGTCTGAATGGTTTATTGTAATAGAATACAATTCATTTTCCAAACTGACATATCCAAAGAAATTAAAAATAAAAATGGTTTACCTGACAGACATATATCCCAAGGAAATTTGTATAATTCACACCTGATTTATCAAAATCAAAATTAATATTTCACTATTGCTTTCACAAATGATTAGAAAAGATAACTGGCGGCCAGATTATCTGAGCTATAGAATGGATAGTAAGAGACTAACCTGTTGATGGAGTAAAAATCCCAACACAGTGTAGAACTAGTGACAGTGGCAGTGAACACACTGGCTACAGGAGTTAGTAGTGGTGGAGGTGGGCCTATCGCTACACCTATAGGATAGAGCAGCAAGCCTGTCTCCTCACAGTGTGTCTATTGATCTCTCTTACACATACCTATCACTGCCAATAGCATCTCCATACTCTTATACACCGCTCTGTATGGCTCTCTCTTCATACTCTCTCGCCCTCTCATATCATACTGTGTAGGGCCCTCCTTTATTCTGTGTATGGTCCTCTATCATACTGTGTTTGGCCCGCTATCATACTGTATATGGCCCTCTATCATACTGTGTATGGCCAACCTTTATACTGTGTAGGGCCAACCTTTATACTGTGTATGGTCCTCTATCATACTGTGTATGGCCCTCTATCATACTGTGTATAGTCCTCTATCAAACTCTGTATGGCTCTCTGTTCATACTCTCTCGCCCTCTCATATCATATTGTGTAGGGCCCTCCTTTATACTGTGTATATTGGCCCTGTACTTAATACTTAGTATGGCCTTCTATCATACTGTGTATGGTCCTCTATCATACTGTGTACGGTCCTCTATCATACTGTGTATGGCCCTCCTTTATACTGTGTATGGTCCTCTATCATACTGTGTATGACCCTCCTTTATACTGTGTATGGTCCTCTATCATACTGTGTGTGGCCCTCTATCATACTGTGTAGGGCCAACCTTTATACTGTATATGGTCCTCTATCATACTGTGTGTGGTCCTCTATCATACTTTGTATGGTCCTCTATCATACTGTGTGTGGCCTTCTATCATACTGTGTATGGCCCTCTATCATACTGTCTAGGGCCCTTCTTTATACTGTTTATGGTCCTCTATCAAACTCTGTATGACTCTCTCTTCATATTCTCTTGCCCTCTCATATCATACTGTGTAGGGCCCTCCTTTATACTGTTTATGGTCCTCTATCAAACTCTGTACGACTCTCTCTTCATACTCTCTCGCCCTCTCATATCATACTGTGTAGGGCCCTCCTTTATACTGGCGTGTGTATGGTCCTCTATCAAACTCTGTATGACTCTCTCTTCATATTCTCTTGCCCTCTCTTATCATACTGTGTAGGGCCCTCCTTTATACTGTTTATGGTCCTCTATCAAACTCTGTATGACTCTCTCTTCATACTCTCTCGCCCTCTCATATCATACTGTGTAGGGCCCTCCTTTATACTGTGTACATTGACCCTATATACTTAATGCTTAGTTTGGTGTGTGTATGGCCCTCAATCATTCTGTGTTTGGTCCTCTGTCAAATTCTGTATGTTTCATCATAAGTGAATCTGTATGACCCTTTCTTTATAAAGTGTCTGGTTTGCACAGATTTCTTGACTATTTAGCATTTGATTAAACAGATTTCTGGATTACTATGGGTTCAATTAAGAAAAATTCTGGATATTTCAGCATCTGGTTGACAAGTTTTTCCTGGATTAATTAGGGTCTGATTTGCACAGAGTTCTGGATTATTTAGGGTTGTTTTACAAAGTAAGAGCCTGGATCAAACCTTTTACATAATATGCATATATACAAAGGATAACCGCATTGTAACGTACATACTCTACACATTAGGCTATACGTCAATCATTAGATACCTACTTAGTATGTTATATGAATTACCTATAGCAGCCTTCAGCAGCTACTAGTTACTATATGTACTACTGATCAGTACAGATCTGAGATGTGTATAGCCAACAGCTTTATTTACATGTTCCGCTCTGTGAGATGACTGATTTAGTAGCCATCATTACTCTACCATGGCTTCAAATCAAATACAAACAAATCGATTGTTTTGACTTCCTGCCTAATCAGAAGGTATGTCTGCTGTGACGAGTTACCCTATAAATTTGTTGGTGACCTGACTTATCATTAGACTGTCTGTGACCAGTAACCATCTCTATGGCTTAATTGTTACCCTGAATTTATCAGTGACCCCTTACCCTTAGTCTGTGACCAATAACCCTAAATTTTGTGACTAGTAACCATTCATCTGTGACCAATAACCCAAAATTGTCTGCAACCAGTTACCCTAATTCTGTGACCAATAACCCTAAATTTGTCTGTGACCATATTTACCATATATCTTACCAGTTATTCTAATTCTGTCCATGACCAGTTACCCTAATTCTGTGACCAATAATCCTAAATTTGTCTGTGACCATTTACCATATATCTACAAGTTACTCTAATTCTGTCTGTGACCAGTTACCCTAATTCTGTGACCAATAACCCTCATTTTGTCTGTGACCAGTAACCCTAACTCTGTCTGTGACCAATAACCCTCAGTTTGTCTGTGACCAGTAACCTTACTCTGTCTGTGACCAATAACCATCAGTTTGTCTGTGACCAGTAACCCTAACTCTGTCTGTGACTAATAACCCTCAGTTTGTCTGTGACCAGTAACCCTAACTCTGTCTGTGACCAATAACCCTCAGTTTGTCTGACCATTAACCCTAACTCTGTCTGTGACCAATAACCCTCAGTTTGTCTGTGACCTGTAACCCTAACTCTGTCTGTGATCAGTCACTGTAAGTCTGTCCCAGCCTGTCCGTAACAAGTAACTATTAGTCTGTCTGAGCAAACTTTCAGGAATAAACAATTAATTGGAGTGACCAAACACAATGGAATGCAAAGATTCATCCTGTTAGCACCTAATTCTGTTGTTATAAATTAGGAGCTATTACATTGTTCTAAAACAAATACATTCACTCCAAAAATAACAACCAAATGTTGAAACATTGGTGCCTGTTACCAGACTGGCTTCTCCCTGACGAGTTCCACAGTTACACCTTGAGCCCTGCTTGTTTACTTTCCATTGATTTGCCCTATATCATGATGCCAGGGTGAGAACTGGTCCTTGAAAAATTAATAGATGCTGGAGTGGTCATTATTTGACCAATTCCGAATGGTCAGTTTACAGCACGCTATTGGAAATTCAGACCAATTTGACAATCTCTGAACTGCAAATATTGGCGAACTTTTAACCAAACCGTCGACATGTAAAGATATCAAGCGATTTATAATCGGTGGTGATGCCTTGGTTTTCGAATATGTTGGTACATATTTGCCGAGCACTCGGCCCAGTACTAAATGCATACCCTAATGAATGGTTCAAGGCTAAGTGGTCAGTTCCTGGGAACCTGTTATCAACTGATCAGTGACTTGTCTTTTCTTGGGTTAACGTGTGATGCTTTGACGACACTGTCAATCGAAGGCCTAATGAGGTTGGTTTGGCCACCCTGTTATTTACGGTACGTGTCTAGTGATTGTGTATGTTCGACCTGTTGTTATTGATATAAATAAATGTCACTATGTAATTGGCGTGGTGCTGGCAGCAGTTAATGGGGATAATAACGGCCTACAGTACAATCGCTGCCGGCTGTTGTTGATAGTGTTGGACTGGATTTACGGAGAACTTTGATTTGACACGTATAGGACACTTGGATCATGAAGAACACTGTGACATTAGGACACCTAACTGATTGATCTAAATGTTTGTCCCACATTACATAAAACAGAACAATTATGGTCCTGCTTGGTCCACAGTATATGTCTGTCTGTGACTGTGCGTTTTCGGGATAATGTTTGTATCCAAAAGACTAATCCCTTTGAAATTTTACATTGTGGTACACTGTAACACACAGATGTGCATTAGAATTCTTTTTTTAAAGTTTCGAAGGTCTAGAGCAAATCACTGATTCTAAATATAGACCATTGGGTATAAGGATGCTATAAGTTTGTGAATTGTACCATTATGTCCCCATCAGTAGTTGTATACATGTAGAACTGACAAAAATGTATGTTTTATCCTGAATAATAAAAAGAAACTTTCAAGTACATACAATATACTAACAATATACAGCAGTTTCCTTTACCGTCATTTTGTTATATAAATCAATTTTTTCACCCCCTTTGAGGGCGAGACAGGAGGATTTCAACCCCGAGGTGGGGGGGATTCTTACGCTGACAAACATGAGGCTTGCAGAATGTTTGGCAACTTAAGAATCTCCTTCCAAGGGTTAAGATATCTTTTTGCATCCCTAAAGTGGCAATATGTTTCGTATTCTATTACCCTGTTCATGTTTTTATATGTTATGCATTATTGACATAACGGGGTCAATTCATTGTTGACGTGCCACTGTACAATTGTTTTGACTGGAGAATCTCCTCGCCTCTACTTCAGGGTAAATCTAGGATATTTCACACTGGGAAAACTGTGAATACATCTCTCCAGGGTGGTAGGAAAGGATATCTGACACCAGGAAAAAATGAGTCCTTTCATTCCATTGTTTTAATAAGCACCTGGCTTTCACATGTCACAGTGGTGAATCATCTAGTACCTTCCCTTATGAAAAAAAAATGCTGAATTTTGCTGAATTTTGCTGAGGATTTGCTGAACTGTTGCTGAAAATTTGCTGAAACTAAAATCGGATGCCGAACCATTGCTTACACAGTTTCTACAGGTGCTGAATTTTGCTGAACTTAACTGAAACCTGCTGAAAACTGCTGAACTGTTCAGGTTAATGCTGAAAACTGCTGAACTGTTCAGGTTAATGCTGAAAACTGCTGAACTGTTCAGGTTAATGCTGAAAACGGCTGAACTGTTCAGCACCATGCTGAAAAATGCTGAACTGTTCAGGATAATGCTGAAAAGATGCTTAACTGTTCAGGATAATGCTGAAAAATGCTGAACAGTGTTCTGTAAAAAAAATCAAGTCATCGTTTTCAAGAATAAAAGAAATGAGAATTAAATGCTCATGAAACTAATTTTTATGATTATTAAATTAATTCTCTTTTTTTTAATGATCATTAATGAACTGAAACAAGTGTAGTTAGAAGTAATATAAGTTGATGGTCAAAATTTATAGAAAGTGCTAGCTATATATAGCTAGCCAATCATATCTCCCGCGTTTAATATACTAAGTGTATAAAGTCCGAGAGATCCGAGTAAATACTATGTGGATGACTCCCGAGTGAAACCGAAAAAGATAAACAAAAATGGCTGCCGTAGAAGACGAACCGCTAAGTCAGAGAC